AGGGATGAAATTAGGCAAGTTTTAAAATTCGGACCTATTTAAGGAGTTCACGAGCGGTCGCGAATGTACCAAGTAGCACGCAGTCACGCATCCCCGTTCCCACCACGGGCGATAAAATACCTCCACCACCGGCCACCCTACCCTAGCGTAACCGCCGCATCCCTCAACCCCATACGATGAGAAGAGCTTCCACTCTCGCCGCCGCTTCCACTTCGTTATCCCGATCCATTCTTGCTTCCTCCCAACACCACCACCACCACCACCACCATCGATATAATACTCTTTCAAGCAACTTCCCTTTACGCTACCAATGCCGGTTCTTCTCGGCGGTGGGTTTCTACATCTATGGGATCCATGTCCCCAGGAGGTTCATCGGGTGCTGCTAAAGTTTTTCTGTCGATGGGTTGTCTTGCCGCCACCGTCGCTGCTGGTGCCTCCTCCCTTTACGCTACATTTTATGGTTTTCATAGGGTATTCTTTTTGTCACTTGCACAAGCCTTGTGTAATGGCAGTAGAGCATGAATACGTAAGAATTTGATGGTGAGTATGATTGTAGGAGCCATTGCATTAATACGAGACATTTTAGTTTTTAATTTTTTGATGAACATCTCAACTTGTTTTGTATTACTTTTACATGTGTGTCTTTGCTAATTGATAAAGTGTATCATATGCCACCTAGTTTTGTCATGTTTTTTCTTCCCAAATTCTGTTAGTTTAGAAATGGTTTATACATCRTATGTTATCTAGTTTTGTCATGTTTTCTTTTTTAAGTTTGATGAAAGGTGTATACATCCAATTATTTGATGCGTACACATATCTCTGCCATCCATTCTTTTGCCATTAGCTTTGAATATATGATAATTACTTTGCTTGTTTTGTTCCTTTTTCAGCATTTCTAGATTACTATGATGTGCCATACAAAGTTGTGGAGGTGAATCCACTCAGTAAGAAGGAAATCAAATAGTCTGATTACAAGAAGGTGCCTATACTTATTGTGGATGGGGAACCGCTGCAAGATTCCTCAGGTTTTCTTCAGATTGATCATAGCAAATTTGTGGTTCTCTTTTTTTCTTTAAGTTTAGTATTTAGGCTTCAATCAATGTTGATATAATTATATAAACTAAATGTGAGCCTTTTCTTTTGTACATTTGACGAGGAAATTGATGGCATCTAAGGATATAATGTGTTTCTTTTGCAGCTAGTATTGATCAGATGAGGAACAAGATCAGTCCCAYGAGCTCTAGTTCACTGGTTGATGATGAGGACGAGGAAAAGAAGTGGCGTAGGTATGTTTTTTATTCCCATTTTATTCTCTATGTCACTAATAAAGTAATGATAAATGCTTCAACACTAAGGATTTGGTGAAAATGAACACCAATGTTCAATGCTGTAGAAGGCAATGTCTTAATCAAAACAAAAGTTCGTAAGTAGTGCTTGGTTGGGCTCATTTTTGCCGACATTGCACCTAGCCAGTAGAAAATTGAAAAAGCATGGAGTGTGTAGTTGAATGCAGCAATTCAAGCCTATAGACAGTCAACACATTGACCATTCATTGCGTTCTTAAATCACATTGACCCCCTGATAGGAACCATATTCATATCTTGTCTCCGAATTTTCTTTTATTTATGTCATTTGATTGTCCTACCGACTGTTACTTTGGCTGTATAATTTTTTTCATATTGACCCCTAATCATGACCTCTAGTGTTTTAATCAAGTTAGCATTTTGCTAGTAGAAAATATTTTTGGAACGAGTCCTATGGGTTACTCTTGGTGCTAATGAAGACTGGGACTATGTGGGTGGGTTGATGAGCATTTGGTGCATATGCTATCGCCAAATATTTACCGCAACACTTCTGAGGCTCTGGAATCCTTCGACTATATCACTAGCAATGGTAAGCCACTATAATGCATCTCACTTACATTGGATGCTTTTCTTGTTATCATGCACTAGAATTTTCATGGGTTTGGAATTATAGTGATTTTATAATTGCCTCTGCATGTATAGTATGCTTAGATTTGTTCTTCGATTTGTGCATTTTGTTTCATATTATAACTTGTACCTTCAACACATTAGATGCATTTCTTGTTAACTTGTTCCACAATCTGAGCTCGCTCTCATGATGTCAAGTGCTGGAAAGACGCTAGCCAAAATTTTAACATATTAGAACTTCAAAACAGGGCAAAACATTTGAAATCTCCAAACTTCGTTCGCCAAAGTAGAGCTCGTTGATYTTTTGCACTTTGAAGTCTTGAAGGATGTCCTCTAAACCAATCCTCTTATCAATCTTTCTTTTGATAAACAAAACCAACAATCTTCCATTTATTCTGTAGCCTTGTTTTTACAATATTCATTGTTGGAAACAGCATGTTGGATTCAAGGACCCCTCAAGACAGTCCGAGAAAAAAGGCCCACTTACCATTGAGGGCTATTTTTGCTTACTGAGCAGGTTCATTGGAAGGTAAGCGGTCAGCTACTTGACATTGAGCATAAAAGGAGTGTTGGAGGGAACCTGNAGTACATATATTAAGTTCAGAATAATCCTGAACTTTCTGTGCTCTTGCAATTCCAGGTAATTTCAGCTTTTCAGAAAAATATACAGTAAAATACGCAGGCGCTGCTGCTATGTATTTTGTGTCGAAGAAATTGAAGAAGAAATATAACATCACCGATGAAAGGACAGCCTTGTATGAAGGTGCCGAAACTTGGGTTAATGCACTTGATGGCAGGGAGTTTTTAGGTCAGTTTTCTTGATGGCAGGGAGTTTTTAGGTCAGTTTTCTTGATGGCTTTCATTGGTGTCTATACGAATAAAAATTCTGTTCGTCAAATTCTATGTCTCCTCCATGTCCATCAATCACATAAAACCGCCTCATCACTTTATTGAGAAGAGAATAAAAAGATGAATTACTTAAATTTATATTTAAATAAAATAAAATTGGATGCTAGCAACACACACATACATATATGGGGGCGATTCAAACGAGAAGGCGAACTATTAATGAAAAAGAAAAAGGTCGTTAATGTACAAAATCATATATGATTCACGTACAAAATCATACATGATTCACACTTATATATTCACGTATAGAATCATACTAGTTCAGAAGTCGTCCGCTTCCATTTTTTGAAGTTAATGTAAAATCGCATGTGAGTTTGTATATTAACGATCTTTTTCTTGTTTTCTTAAATAGTTAGCGTTCTCGTTTGAACCTTCCACCCCCCTCTCTCTTTCTCTCTCTCTCTCTCTCTCTCTCTCTCTCTCTCTATATATATATATATATATATATATATATATATTCAATGTGTTAATCTAGTTAAGTTTTGTGCTCCTTACGACTGCAGGGGGCACCAAGCCTAATGTGGCTGACCTTGCCGTGTTTGGAGTATTGAGACCCATTCGTTATCTGAGATCAGGTAAGGATATGGTTGAGCACACACGAGTGGAGAATGTTGTTGGTGCATCTTCAAGGATACAAACCTAATTTTCATGTTGTATTCATCTTGAAGGCCAAGTGATATGCAAGAAGCAAAGTATATATACATTTTTGCCTTCCGTCTTGACTAAGTCGTGTTGAAAAACTTCAAGTTAATTTTGTTGCTWTGAATTCGTAGCATGATACGAATTGTATTGCGATTCCTTTGCTGTACAAGATGATGACCAAGGCCACATGTAGGTCGGGATAGAGAAATAATAGAATACCAATCGGGGGTGAGAGGATACCTCAAAACTATGTAGCTTGTGATTGAATGAGAGTAGTACCAGATTAGATATATTTTTGGATAGTCCTCGTGGTGCACCCCTTTTTTGTATCTTTAGAATGAGAAATGTCGAATAAGAGAACTTTGATCCATTGGGGGTGGAGGTAGAAACCTTTATGTCACACTTGTTTTTGCTATTGCATTCTAGGGCTTGTTTGGTTTGTTTTTTACAAGCCCTGTATTGGATGAAATCGTTTGTATAGGTTGTGTAGGTTTTTCAWAGATGGAGGGAGGTATGCTTTTTAATTGGGAAKGGGGGCTTGGAAAAATTCAGCTTTTTGTATAAAACTCCTCCRKAGAAGCTTATTGAAAGAAGACACTATYTGCATAATTAAATTACTACCAAACARTCATGTATGGTTGAATGTATCACTTGTGAGTCCCATTAAACTTTAAACTTCCCYKAGTGTATCTTGCCTCACAAAATAGATGTTTTTGTTGATTAAATTTGAAGCACTTMTGTTAAATAGGCTTGCATCTAACAAAAAGATCAAAACATACCGAACGTAACTATTAGTACTTTGTTGCATTTGTAAAGGTTCAACACTTGTTATGTATTTGAACGTGATTATAAGTTGGTTATCTWTCARTTTTATARAGTTAAATAKAYGGACCTTATRAAGTACGTATTCAGTAATCAGTTATGAACTTAAATTGTAAGAGATTTTAGAAATATGTGATTAGTGCTWTATAACATGATATTTAGATCGATAATGTTTGATTATGTGTTTTTTYTTGAAAATATTGTTAATCGAATAATTAATTGTTTGAGTTTYGATAAATTTTAATTATTTATGGAACTAATATATAAATGATCAAAAAGACAGGGTATTATAAAATGAAAGATGGTCCCTCAAATATGTAAAAAGAGAAGGTAAATCAGAAATTTTTATHAGTGAGTGTGTTTTCTGGTTCTTTTGTTTTCATCCCTATAATTCAKTTTATAASAAAACAACACTTAAGTTMACATTTTTATTTTGGTTCTCGTCACTGTTGCTAACTCTGCCAATCATTTACTGTTAGKTKGAGTCATGTRTKTCTCATAWGAGACATTTTAGTCATTTTATATGTAAATATGACGTGACATCTTTAGAAGAAAAAACTCGAATTCTTCTCTCCTCTTTTTCATGTTTGAAAGATCATTGGCTCTTGTTGGTATTTCCTTCTTTACTAATTCAATTTAAAACCGTTTCCATCGATCTCTTGTATGCCGTTCCTACGTTCATATTCATTTTCATATCTCCGAATTCTTGAAAGTAGCAACCCCTAAAACACAACAAGACCCCCTAAAGACTAGATCAAACAATCAAAGGAAACAATCTTTATCATAGTCCAACGTCGTTAACTACATAAAAGTTCATGTCTTTTGTTGGTATTCGTTCATATTCATCATGATTGAAGAATATTTACTCGTGTGTCGTTTTTCTTAATTCCACCAATGCCCCTTGTTGAACACGAGCACATCCATGCCTTTCCATTTTATAGAGCTTCAATCCATCTTTCCAGCATAAGACACAAGTCTTTATGATACTCGGTTGTACAGTTGAAATTGATGAATCTATACACCAAGTACCCCATGTGTTCATGTTTGTTATCTAGTGGGGTACTTGGTGTATAAATTCATCAATTTCAACCMCAATCGAGTATCATAAAACCTTGTATCTAATGYTGAACAGATGRAYTGGAGCTCTAGAAAATGGAAGGCATTGATGTGCTCGTGTTCAACAAGGGGCATCGGTGGAATTATGAAAAARCGACACACRAGTAACTATTCTTCAATCATGGTGAATTCATAWGAWTAACAACGAAATACATGAACTTTTATGTAGTTAACGACGTTGGACTATGATAAAGATTGTTTTCTTTGATTGTTTGTTTTAGTCTTTAGGGGTCTTGTTGTTTTTCAGGGGTTCACTTTCAAGTTCTGGAGATATGAAAATGAATATGAACGTAGGAACAACATACAAGAGATCGATGGGAAAGGTTTTAAATTGGATTAGTAAATAAGCAAATACCGTCAAGAGCCAATGATCTTTCAAACATGAAAAAGAGGAGAGGAATTCGAGTTTTTTTCTTGTTAAGATGTCACGTCATATTTACATATAAAATGACTAGAATGTCTCGTATTAGAAACACATGACTCCAACTAACAGTAAATGATTGGCAGAGTTAGCAACAGGGACGAAAGCTAAAATGAAAATGTTACCTCAAGTGTTGTTTAGTCAACAAAAACATCTATTTAGTGAGGCAAGATACACTTAGGCCAGTTTAACAAGTTTAAAGGGACTCACAAGTGATACAGTCAACCATACATGACTGTTTGGTAGTGACTTAATTATGTAGATTGTGTCTTATTTCAGTAAGCTTCTATGGAGGAGTTTTATGCAGAAAAGTGAATTTTTCCAAGCTACCCTTCCCAATTAAAAAGCAGACCTCCTTCCATCTATGAAAAACCTTCACAATCTGTAAAGACGATTTCATCCGACATAGGACTTGTAGAGAATAAAACCAACAACCCCTAGATAAGCACGCACTTAGTAAGCGTTTTGTAAACGGCCCCTTATTTATTCAATAGTAAATTTGAAATGATATCTTTAGGGAAAAATTCTAATCTCTCTTTCCTCATCTTCATCGTGTTCTTCATATGTGATTCGTTTGGGAGAAATCAATGAGGGTCCCTTTTATGCTTGTCATCTACTGTTGTTACTAATGAATTTTCGATATGTGAAGTGAATAGTAGACCAATCTAGAAACACACGAGGTTTTTGATGTTAAAATTCATTAATTTCAATCGTAGAATCGAGTATTATAGAGCTTCACATTTGGTGTTGCAGAGCAAGCCATTTGTTGGTTTACCAAAATAGGTGAGAACCATTTTGATAATATGGACCGGAGCTTTGGAAAATAGCAAGGTGTCGATGTGCTCGTGTTCAACAATGGGCGTTGGTGGAATTTTGAAAAGATGACATGAGGAAGTGTTCTTGAGTCTTGATGAAGTCATACGAATAACTATAAAAAAAACCTGAATTTAATAGACCATATTTTTTATTAAAACATAAAATGCGATAAAATTTGCATTTTATTTTTCCATTACATGTTGTAAAAACTATAAACCACCAATTAATGCATAAGTTGATCCTTAAAAGACAAGAACACAAGTACTTCTTGTTAAAAACATTATTTCAAAATCTTTGATCAATGAAATATTTTAACTTTGAATTTATAAATCATCTGATTTATGATTTAAAATCACAACAAACTATAAAATTAGCATCAAAAAAGACAGAAAATAAAACAATATTTATTGTTTTAAGTTGTCGACTTTATAACCAAAATGATTTACACGTTGGTGGTATTGTTAAATGCGTCTGATGATAATTGAATTTGAAGGGAGTGATATGTTTGTTGTGTTTATTTTTTTAACAAGAAAAAGAAATAAGAAAAATAAAAAGAGAAATCCAAGAACATCAATACCTTGTGGGATAACAGACGAGCGAAAGAGAGAGAGAGAAGGTTCATCTTCCCCACAAAACCTCTGAGTTCCAAGTGGAGAGAGAGAGAGAGAGAGAGAGAGAGAGATATGTTGTTCCAGGTGGGAGGTCAAGGGAGTCGTCCCACCTTCTTCGAGATGTCTGCTGCTCAACAGCTCCCATCCAGTCTCCGTGCTGCTCTTACCTACTCCATCGGTGTATGCTTCTGCTTATATCATTCATTCATCCATCACTTCAATTGTTGAATTCTCAATTTCATCCTCCGACTATTACAGATTGTTTGATCTATGTTGGTTATTTGCTGAATCAATTGGAATGAAATCAGGTGTTGGCTCTAAGAAGACCGTTCCTCCACAAAGTGTTGGATTATGAAGACGAATTCTTTGCTGCGCTTACCCTCATTCTTGAAACCCACAGTTTACGCACCACTGGTAGAGCTGTCATTGCCTCTTTTTAATCTTGTGCATTTAATTAATCGATTAGAAACTTTGTGCTATGGCTGCATCCGTGATGCAACCAAATCGAACCCTCTATATGTTGGTTGATTAAAATTCTCTAAGTTGATAGTTTTCTGTGAAAAAGCGTTAATGAACCATTCCACTACCGTACTTGGAGAAGACAAATACTTTATGAAGTTCCCTTTTCATTGCAATGGGCTATTTGGTTGTGGACGGTCAATTCAGGGATGGGAACTTGGTCATAGAAATGTTGTTTAATGATATATGCAGGGAGATAAATATAATTAGGCTATGGTTGCATAAGTTGTGATATAAGCTCTGGTGCCTTGTTGAAGGTGCGGACATTCACTGAACATTTAACTTGATGTAGTAATCTTTTCAGTATTCAAATGTTGCCTCCATAAAACGTTACTTGAAACACCATCAGTCGGATTGTGGTTCAGCCATTCAGCTTATTTTCATTATCTTTGTTAGTATAAATGCATCCTATGTCTAAGAATGAAACATACGTGACATATCCAATTCAAAAATACCATTCAAAATTATCGCTGCCCTTAACAACTTTGGCTATAGCCCACTGCAAGGGATACTATCTTCTTATGTTCTCAAAACTTCTATGATTATGGAGATATTGCTCTGCTTTGGCTATTCCTATTGATAAACTTAGCTTCATATATGCTGCACAAGAGGAAAAGGACTCCAATATAGGGGAAAGGCCTTCAATCATCTGCTAAAAGTTCTTAGAATTACAATGATGGGAGAGGCAGTTAGTATCAGATGGAGTAAGGTGTTTTTTTTGGTGGGGGCATGGGGGAGGAGGTAAAATTTCATGACGGAAATTGAAAGAAAGGAGAGGCAAGTGTATGCACATGTGAACCAAAAAAAACTTGTTCTTGTGCGTCCATTGAAGTGTGAAGAAGCATTCGTAATTTTACAAAATTTGTTGGCCTCGCATCACCTGAGCATTATTCTTTTGTATTATGGCTCCAAGAGAAAGGCATAGGTGGAGAATCCCCTAAGTTTTTAATTTTTAGCCAACAATATGATAAGTGTTTACTGTTTAGACTAAAGAAGGCTGTCCATAGTCTGAAGCAACCGCCTTAGACTTCTCCAATATATAACTAAAATAAAGAAAATCATCTTTGAAATTACTCATCAAGTGAGATAGGAAATTCTCTTCCTTTTATGTCTTAGTGATCAATGACAATGAAGACGTGTTCTAGCATAAGAGTCTCTTAGCCAAGAAATATGAGGTACACAATCAATTAGATTCAGCTTTCTTTTATTGGACTTAAGGATGCTTAAATCAGTCATGCCCTTTTTTCCTTTCTTTCAGAAATTACCCTTTATCTCCTTCACATGAGGTTTTGAAACAAGTTGGAAATGATGAAGAGATTGATAAGTAGGTTAGTTTATTTATCTCATATCACACCAAAACTGGATTTTCTGTGAATGGGATTAGCGTTTTCAAGGCCTTTTGAATTTGGAAACAGCATATTGGATTCAAGGACCCCTCAAGACAGTCCGAGAAAAAGGACCACTTACCATTGAGGGATATTTTTGCTTACTGAGCAGGTTCATTGGAAGGTAAGCGGTCAACTACTCGACATTGAGCATAAAAGGAGTGTTGGAGGGAACCTGTTACTTGGTGTAGTAGGAAGCAGAGGGTGTTATTGGCAGATTAACTGCAGAAATATAATAGAAGACTATGCACAATGGAGCTACTGAGCTTTTATGGGTTTGGAAGCATATACTTACGGTATATGTTTGGGTTTCTGTACACCTGTCCATGATAGGAGGCTATGTGTTGATTTTGACCCAGTACATATATTAAAATTAACCAACAAGAGGAGCTGGATAGTGGGTGCATTTCATATGTGGTAAATGCCTGATACTTCACTTGTCTTGCCAACAAGGCTTATAATTGATTTGTAACAAAATTAGGCGATCTTTAGATGCAATGGGAGCTTCCGCTGAAAGATGGCATATGTGACTTTGCAAGGGTAAGGCCCTGCTTTTTTGTATTTATGTGATCGTTGAAGTTCCTTCATCTCTTTTTTAATCATATCTTATTAAAAATGATTATGTTGGCAATGGTCCTCCTTGCAGTCATATTAACTTATGAACAAGTAATGAATTGTTATCATTAGAGACAAGAAAATGCCAAAAAACCCAGGAAATTTTTTTGGTGTAATAGGAAGAAAGGACAGCAAAATTCAGCAATGCCAAATAAACTCGTATCTGGAGCAACTATCTTCAGTCACTACCAAGTCCTCATGCCTCTTCTCATCCCTCAGTTAAACTAAACTTTAAGAAATGAAAAAGAAAAGATTACCATAATGGCATCATCAGCTGGGTTACCTGAACTTGCTAAACATTTTCGAGGTTACACTCTTCATATGTTATGATATTAACATTTCCAATTCGCTATGTCTATATTAACTTGGTGCTATGGTGTTCTCCCAGATGCTTCTTTTGCAGAGTCTTTATATGGCTTACGAAGGAGAGCAGTTAATGTTCAGGTGAAAAAGGAAGACCTTCATACAGAAGCAGGAAATAGAATTCAAAATTCTGGACTAAGGAAGCGTCAAAAGCTTCTCTCAGTTGTCTTTCTGGTAGGCCTACATAGATTGTGATCAAGAGGGTCCATGGTCTTTTTATCTCTTTTTTTCCGTCTCATTTAAGCAGACATGGATGCACTCACTCTTCTTTCATTTCGATGCTGAAATTATTATGTGCTCCATGGTAGTGGGGTCTAACAAAATTTTATTTTGATAAAGCCTAGTTCCCTGATGCAAGAATGATAATAGAACTTTTGGCTTTTTTTTCCAGTAAGTTATACTTACATGGCTGCACTTTTATTGAATCATAATAGTAAAATAGACACTTTCTGAGACTGATATTTTACTGTCAGTTATATGTAGTGGTGACATACGTGACTTACTATTCCATTACTCCAAATTCCAACCTCCACTCTTTTTACTTTCACACAGCAAAGATGTTAAATGGCTTTTGACTTGCGCATCATGCGGATAATGGTGTGATGCAGGTTGTGTTGCCATATTTGAAGTCAAAGTTGCATTCAATCTATAATAAAGAAAGAGAAGCTGCACTTCAAGCTAGTCTTTGGGCAAATGTTAACGAAAGGTTTGATGAAATTGACAATTTGGGTCATGCCGGCAGTTCATTTGCTTCAACTAGTGGTTTGGATACAGACTTGTCTGTTAGAACACGCTTCAGAAAGAGAATGCATAAGATTGTAGCTACTTGCTACCCCTGGCTGCATGCTGGGAGTGAAGGTAATGGAACTTAAGATACTGTCCAGTCCTTGATTATAAGTTGAAACCAAGTGATATAAAGATGAAAGGTTTTATCTTGATTGCATATTATACTGTCCTTCTAGAACTGATTTTCACCATAATGCAAATAAATGACCAACAATTACCCTTTCTAGTTAATTTTTACATGAGTAGTCTCCATAGCATCTTTCTAAATGGTGGTCAGATCCTTGTAGTATATTCTTTCTGTATATTGATCTGTATCTGGTTTCACAACTGATATTTTGTGCAGTTTCTTGGGTAAGCTAGAATATTTAGAAGTTATACATGTACATCACTCACAAGCAGAGCTGTGGAGACATTAAGTGTCATTCTTTTTTTTTTCTTTTTCATTTCATCTATTGAGTTATGCATTTGGATAGAGGGTCGTAAGTTAGTTGCATGGTATTAGTTGCTTACTTTCTCAAGATCTCATTGATCTTGTGTCAATTTTCAAGCTAGAATTGATTATGGTATCACCAGGAACACATTATCAATAGAAGATTAATATTCTTGCCTTTCCATGTTTGTATATCTCTGAAACATAGGTCATTTGTATATTTTACACTGGGGTAGGATGGTACAACTAACCCTACGACAAAATTGTAGGTAAGAGGGAGGCTTAATCCCTAAGGATATTTCCTTGATTTCAGGTGATATGGTCATATGTATCAACTTCTTTCTTTTTCTTGTGCACAGGAAAGGGTCGAAAAAGATTCATGTTGAGTGAGATGTGTAAACAGGAGACCAAGTTCAAAACAGGAACCTTGTTACCTCTATTTTATATTGACGTTTTCTCCATGTTGGATTGATAGTTCATGATGAAAATAGATGAGAGGATGATAAATTTTGTTATCTTTTTTCCTCAATTGAAAAACTATATAGAAAGAAAAACACAAGACCACTTCTTAGAAGTCATTATGTTGACTTGCTTCAACGGATACCTAGTCTTCTATCACATTTGTTTGGAATTGGTAAGGAAGCCCTGCAGGGTGCTGTGGATGCAGCTTTTTTTCTTGATGTTAGTAGTCATACAAGATTTCGGTTTACTCTTACTAAAGTTGGAAGCTATAATAAGGATATTATTTGTAGTTATATCGGTAATAGAATACTTTTCTTGTATCATGTTTAAGTTGCCTTGGCTCCATGTTTCCTTGTACCATGTATTCATATTATTCTCAGTAATGACAATATATATACACACACATGTATATAAAAACCCTTATGATTCTCGGTATCATAGTATTAGAACCTGGGGCAACAAGAGAGTCATGTGCTTCTGGCAGAAGCATCGAGTGTCTTTTTTTGGTTCTCTCTTTTTTTCCTAGTCTTTCTACAGAATTTGTATCTTGGTGAAATTTGTTGGAAAATAGCCTTCTTAGAATTAGGATCCTTTAGGTTTTTGGTTGTGTCTATTTACTTAGGTATGCATGCCCATCTATTGTATTATTTTAGGGTTTTCCTCTTGGCTGCAAACTTTTTTCAACAATTAGTGTTAATATTTATTAGAGCTAAGGCTTTTAGATCCAGCATTACTCTTACTGGAGTAGTATTGTCAATGCTACCTTTTGGTTTTCACGTTTAGTTTGCTTTGATCAAAGCTTCATACTAGATATTTATCTTAGGTAACAACATCATACGTCATTGGCAACCTGCCAACCCCTAATTTGTTTCACTTAATGTTATTGAAATAACATGTGCACTTCAGTTCTGGAGGTTATTAGGAGAAGAATGGTATGGCTGACTAAATGTCTAAATCTACCATCTGAAAGAAGGAAGTTATAAAATTTGTTGCAATACGCATGCATTGCTGGTGTTTCTTCATTGTCCTGTATTTTGTGTTAACCTTATTACCTTGTTTTGTTTTTCCCTCTGCTAACCTGAACTGATCAGACCAGCTGGTGGACCTCAGAGGAGTGTCTTGTTGCCTCTTGTGTTGATCTTCAGTTAGCCTTCCCTAATCTGGCTGATTTTTTATTGTGCAGGATTAGCATTTGCTTACCAGCTGTTATACCTCTTGGATGCTACTGGGTTCTACTCCCCAGGATTACATGCGCTTGGACTCCAAGTTTGTCGGGCTACGGGACAGGAGCTGGTATAGATTTTGAGACAACTTATGTTTAAGATTGAGCAGTCTACTTTTATCTTTTCTGCAAAATCTACAGATACGCCAATTGATATATGAAATTGAAATTTCATCTTGTTACCATGTTTTCATCCATGCAATGCCGCATTTGGAGTAGTGAAAAATACTAGCCCCTCCATCCCAAAATAAGTGTGATGTTTGACTAGGCACTTGGTTCAGTAAAAGGGTTTGATATTGGTCAAATATCGTAAATACCCCTTAATTGATCCAAAGGAGAGGAATCTTGTGAACCATAAGCTATTGGCCTTAATATCTTGTAACAGTTACTAAAGGGTAGATAAGTAATATTGTATGAAACTTTGTCAAAAAGAAAAACAATGTTGCATCTACATTTGGACAACCCAAAATAGACATTGTTTTTTACGGAATGAGGGGAATATCAACTATTTTTCATAAATTCCCAGTCTACTGTTTCTTTGCCTTTTCTTTTATTATTGTCATGTTCTTTTTCATTTAGTTGACTTTTGATGTCAAGGTAGATGGACACGTCTTCGAGAATTTCCAAAATAAGAAGTAACGAACGTGAAAGACTACGTGGCCCTCCTTGGTTGAAGGTATGCTTGAACTTCTTTCTATATATGCTCTACATCTTGTTAAATGTATGAAAGTAATAGGTATGGAAGCTGCGTCGACAATATCCAAGTAGTTCCAGAAGTTCTTTATTCAGTATACAAACCAAATTCTCCAAAAGTAATCTACTACCCCCCCCCCCCCGGGTGGGGGAGACATCTGCAACGGCCTTCCTCGCCTTTTTGTTTATAAAAGTGTTTTTTGAGCTTTCAGCTCCATGCACACCGCTTCGTTTTATAAAAGAGGGCATTGTGGAATCATAATCTTTATAAATGGTCATTAGAACCTGTAAACAGTGCGTTTTGCATCTTTATGACATCTAATTTTTTGTGGTTGGATTTCATGGTGTATGTTATGATGGTGAGTAAAGCATTGTGACATTAATATTGTGAACAAATTTTTGTTGACATTTGATGTGTTCAGGTAGTACAGGGAGCATTGCTCACTTGTGCTTATTCAGTTCTGGACTATGCACAAACTGGTCTGATAGCTGCAGTATTTGGTTTTAAGGTCGGTGGGTTTTCTATATATACTATTACGGCCATTGTTCTTAAAGAAACATATAAGCATATCATATATACTATTGCGTCATCCAAACCCGCACAAATAATACCGACAATAACATGATGTTCATTATTTATAGATGATGGAATGGTGGTACCAATCTGCCGAGGAGAGAATGTCGGCTCCAACCGTGTATCCTCCACCACCTCCTCCTCCCCCACCAAAGGTATATATCTTGTCCTATATCATTCAAAAAAATTATATCTCCTATACATGTAGACTAAGGGTCCATTTGGTTTGACGGAATGTTTTTGAGGTATTTGGATTTCATAGACGGATTTGGAATCTTTGGTGTGTATGATTTGGAATGGAATTGAATTCCATTCTTTATAAATATTATATAAAAACAAATTATAAAAATAATTAAATTACACTTTTTATTAATTGATTATTGCAAAACAAGTGTTTTTAACGTATTTAAAACATTATTACAAACAAATATATGAAATCCTGCTAAATACCAACCATCCCATGGTATTCTAAAATCCCTTGTTTGTGGGATTTCATTTTCGGACTTCCCTTTTAACCAAACGCGGGACTGAAATGGAACCTGATTCCAAATCCCACCAAATTCCCCAAACCAAACGGGCCCTAAGATTTTAATCTGAAGAGATGCTTTTATTTAGATAGAGTTGAGAAGTGGTATGTTGTCGCTGTAGTTATGATGTACATCATAATTATATATAATTATCTTTTCATGTAACAGGTTGCCAAGGAGGGCATCCCGCTGCCACCTGATCGGACCTTATGTGCCCTATGTTTGCAGAAGCGTGCAAATCCTTCAGCGATTACAGTTTCTGGCTTTGTGTTTTGCTATGCTTGCATCTTCAAGTATGTTTCCCAGGTACGTCTCCTCTAACCAGCATCTTCAACATTAGATCTCACTTGCAAAACCTATTGAAATAATCTTTGTGGTCCCATTCAGTCACTGCTAATTCTGTCTTATTGGTTTCCATTAACATTTAAGAATTTACATAATTAGTTTTTCAAATTGCCTAGAGTAAGGGGCTGTTTACCCAAACGCTTACCCAGTAAGCGTTTACCTGTAAGAGTCAACACTCTCACTTAGCTTACAGGATAAGATTCTAGTCCATCAAAATGGCTTCGTATGTAACAGTATTTCCTGGTAAGCGCTAAGTGGGTAAGAGTCGTCACCCTCACTTACCGGGTAAGACTCTCGGTCCTTGCCATCGCTTTTTCCGGGTAAGGTTCTCGGTTCTTGCCATCGCTTTTTCCAGGTAAGGTTCTCGGTCCTTGCCATGTACATCCGGTAAGGTAAGTGACCCGGTAAGCGCTTACCGGGTAAGCATTTGGTAAACAGCCCCTAAATCCGTATTTTACAGATACAGCAATCATGGGTATATTGTCAATTATGGTCTTACAGATTCAGCCGCTCTACTCTTTGGGGATGGAGGACATGTCTGCATAAATCTCACCTCCAAACCCTACTTCCGAGTGGGATATACTGGGTTCCTTTGATTTGGTTTCATCAATTATGGCTATAGTCAAGTATGGGTTGATAACTCCTACTCACCCCATAATCTGGACCACACTATTATGATGGGTCCTTTGGTAAAATCAGCTTCCGACAGGTTTCTTTTCATCCATAAAAATGCCTAGAAACCTGTCAGAAGGTTATGGATAAAATAAAATAAAAACACTTGTCGAGGGATCATTTGGCTAAATAATCCCTATTTATTTTGATACAGTATCTGTTTCCTCATCATTTGAAAAATGCAAAGCCATTTCTTTTCTTTTTTTGAAACGGAAAAGAAACGCACACGTCTCTAAAGAGAAGAGACTCGACTCAAAACCTAATAGTTGTAGACTTCATTGATATCATCAATGTGCAAAGCTATGTCTAATCCTTGGTTTTTTTTGACAATAGTATAACCGCTGCCCGGTTACCTTGGTTCCTGCAACCGTGGACCAGATTAGGAGGCTGTTCCATGACCTGTAGAAAAAGCTTCATACCAAACGGAGAAGCTTTTAGCTGCAGATTAACGGGTTTACCCGAAAGAATTTGATGGATAAATTAGAACTTGTGAGTTTCTTCTAAGCCATCATATGTGATTTCATCCCTGAACTGAGGGAACCCTAGATGTCTATGAGTTCATTGTTGTAGACTAATGATAAAAGGAAAGGAATCCCATATGTAGCCTCACTTTCTTTGTAAATAATGAGAGTTTAATTTATCATCTATGGTGTTAGATTAATGGAATTATACATGTCTTTAGGAATTACAATAATGCAATGAGTTAAAATGGGCTCTTTCTCACAATTGCTATAATCTTTGGTTGGATATCTACATCAATTGCAAAGTTTATTAGGGTCTTATCAACCTATCAAGTTAGCTTAAACGAACCAAAGAGTTGTCGACCCAGCGGCCAGCGGTACTTGGACTCGGATATCCGGGTATTTGAATCTTTTTTTGGGTTAAATTATGTTGGCGATCTGGGTTTGTGGTTATATAAAGCTTGGGTAGGTATCTGGATCTTGTACGGAAAGACACTTTTCAAATACTATATTTTGCACCTATAAGGCCTTGGTTTTGCACAAATTTAGTACTGGGATAATCAAAAAAATTCATATGCGAATTAAGGCACAAATTCGTATATCTATGTTAACCAGCTCACGTTTTATGTATCTATATGAGAGATTAGATAGTTACGGATGGTTTAAACAGTTAAGACATGACTACATAGTAGTTATAACTGTCAATAGATAAGATTCATAGTAGTTTTCCAATTTAATCTCACCTCTATCTGAAAACCGGGACTTTCAATATTCATTAAATCAAACATTAAATAACATTTTATTTAATGTGTAGGGGTAAAATAGTCATTTTATATTATTTAGATTGTTTATTCAGTCCAACAATCAAACATCATCTAATTCATACATGACTTAATGAAAAATAATCGAACAATCCCAGTTGTCTATCTTAAGTGGTGTTTGATTTTTTTAAGAGAGATTGAACTTTGAAGTTTTATTTCATTTCCTATTGATAAGATGTGATGGTAAAGTACGAAAGCAGAACCAATAAGATTGTTTTCGTCCTTCAGACTTTTCAATAAGAACAGTTATCAAACAATTATTTTCTATTTTACACCAAAATCATACAGTTTCTATTAATCATTATGAATATTTAATATTTTTTTTTACCAAATCATTCAACATTAATAAACAATCATTTATTGGTTATGTTTTCATACTTTAACACAATATTATATGACTCATCGTTTAACACCTTGTCGATGTTTCGGTTGTGGTACCAAAGGCACTCGGGAAGTTGGTATACTTGTATGCTTTCAGCAATTATTCATTTCGCATTTGACTACCCAAAGATCAGTGTGGGCATGATAATCGGGAGGTAAGGACATCTTAATACTCTAATGCTCAAAACTGATGAGGATCAAAATGTGCATTTTAACATTATTAAAATAAACAAAATTCCACACATACTTTTAATAAAACACAAATTTTAGAATTAGTCTCGACAGAGCATCTCCAACAACTATGTTAAGATAGAGAAAATATGAATTTTAGCAACAAAAAAATTGCTCCAACATCTATGTTATCTTGTATGCTAAACTAGAGAAAAGCGGAGAGATTGTAAAAATCTCTAAATTTAGAGAAATTTATAAATAAAGATGAATTATTATTTTAAAACTTTCCCACCAATAAGAGGTATTTATAATAAATATTTAGTAGAGAGAAATAATATTTTTATTAAATGTATTGAATACTTTAATAATATAATTAATGTTAGAATTTCTAAAATAAAGTAATTGTTGGAGTTGAATATAATTTATTTTAAATAAAATACAACATAGTTGTTTGAGATGCTCTAAATATTCTAAATTCAAATAGAACAAATAAAATTGTAGGTGTCATCCGTTGAAATTTAACAGATTTTGGTTGAACGGATTAATATCGAATCATCCGCATGTTTGATTTTGGGAATCGATCCCATTAATTTTAGACAATGATTCGATCCAATCCATTAATTTTATAAACTCTCATTCTCACCCCATCCTTCATGTTATATACCAGAATAAATAAAAGAAAAACTTATAAATTATATGTTCATAAATATAGGGTTGGGTTTACGTGAGACCAAAAGTTTTTCATGAGACCCGTAAGACCAATTTATGTTCATTGATCAACTTTATAAACTAATGATCTAATGGTCTAAAGTTGCACGGTGACAATTTTGTGATTATTAAGAAGTCTCGTGATAATTTTGTGATTATAAATATTCAGATTGTAAATCTAATCCAATGGTTGAGAATTGGTCTAACACGTCTCATGAAAAACTCTTGATCTCATGTGATCCCAAGTTTGTATATATGTGTATATATCTATACTATATTATAAAGCATTTGGCTACAACTCTTAAGAACTCTTAAAACTCTTAAACTCGTTCATCCCTATCCGATTTCATTCCATATTTGAATTCGTGTAACTAACTGCAGATAAACACAATCAAATACAAGATAAACATCTCATTTTAAATAAAAAAATCTAAAATATAATTAGTATAATCATTAAATTCTAACAGAATACTTAATTATTATCTTTATAAAACTTATAATATTAAACCAAAAATAAATTGTTTTATTATTAAA